TGGCTTCCCACACGCTCAGGTGCAGCCTGACTCTGAAGGAGGTGGATTCCCAAAGGGGGAGCCTGGGGTGACACCACATCTCTCACCTCTTGGCTGTACCTGCGAGGCCCCATGTGTCACAAAAAGATCCAGAAGCCGCTGAAGTGACCAGGCACAGGGGAGCGATCCCATCCTCACTGTTTTCCTTTCTCAAATGTTCTCAAAATGAGAACCTGTTTTCAGAGTGTCACTAGGACTGATCTGCCCAAACAGGCCCAGCAAGAATGCTGCCACCTCCTACCTCAAAACCAGGAGGCTCGGTCCGGCAGAAGGCTGCATCTCCCCAGTGCATGATCCTGTGTGTTTTTATCCATTTTGCCCACTCTGCTTACTCACAAGTTCCCCAATCCCAACACATGTGACTACAGAGGGCAGCCACCTGGTGAGTAGAATAATTACATAAGTAACAACCTAGTGCTTTGATACCAATACTGTCTTATAGCCCCCATGGGCAGCTGGTGGGGGCAGAGAATGCGGAGTGCCCCAGTAGACAAGGCCCCGGGTACCACCCCATCCTCTAGTGCTTCCTCCAAACTGGTCGTGCATCTGGGAAGTGAATAAAAAATGCAGACCCAACCCAAAGCAGGGGCTAGGAAACTTGTATGGTAAAAAACTCTTCTGGGAGGAATTTAGTGTCCCTGATCGACCTGGCTCTGGTTCATGGACTGGCATTTAGATAGCACAAGTCCTGATTCAGCCCTCGCCATCGTCCACCTCCCCCCAGCCCACAGATGCAGACACCCTCCAAGAGTAGGGGCTCACTCGAGGTCCCACAGAGAATGGCCTCCCAGGGCCTGCTCAGATTCTGTAAATTATCCCCTCCCCAATCCAAACAAACACAGAAAAACAAAAAGTAAGTATATGTTTGAGAGGAGGCCAAGCTTTTTGAAGTGACTGCTGGTGGTTTATGCTGTGTGAGTCACCCATGGCCCAAATATCCAATAGTGAAAACAGAGATCAAGTGGGGAAGGAAACTTCCTACTCCCATGGGGGTCTCCGCCAGCAGTGTAAGCTCACCCGACACCATCACTATTTATTTCCATCACAAGCAGCTGTGGCCTGGTGGGACCAACACTACCCCAGGCAGGCAGGGGTCTACCCCTCTGCAGCACCGGGAGGCCAGCAAAGTGCTTTACAAACTCTCAGCATCTTTGGCCATTTTGAGAGAGATACGAAGCAGAGGATCGTCTCATTGTAATAGTGGAGAAGCTGGAATCTAGAGACAGGAGATGGCTCCAGGCAGCAGAGGGGCCGAGGAAGCGCTGGCACAGCTCCCCGGCTTCTACTTCTGAAGGGCTCCGGCAGCAGGAAGGCAGGGCTGGGGGCAGCTGAAGAGAAGGCAAAACGGAAGGGCCTGAGAGACCCAAACCCACCCTCCAGGCAGGCAGTCTGCGGGCAGACATGTGCACGTGTTGGTGCGAAGTCACACAATTTCCAGAGCTTACACAGAATCAGTGGCCTCTTTCTTATGACTCTGGAGCAGGACCAACATTGAGAAATAAGAAGGGACAGGTGTTTTGATAATAAAAATAGCTAACATGTGTCAAATGCCTGCTGTGCGTCAGGCCAGGAGCTCCTTGGAATTTCATAGCAACTTATGAGGTGGGCACTGCCCTTTCCCCCTTTGCGGACGAGGGAACTGAGCCACAGGCGGGTTAAGTCACTTGTCTAAGGGAGTCAGCCTTTGAAAGACAAAGCCAAGTCTGGCTTGAATGCTGTGTGGCAAAGTAGTGGAAAGAAAGAGAAAGCAAAATGCGCTAGGAGCAGATGACACCTTCATTCAGAAGGAAGCAGGAAGAGAGGCAACTCTCCCTCCGCGCAGGGAATGCTGAGAGGCGCCGTGACCACAGGTCCAGGCAGGAAATGCCGAGAGGGGCTGTGCTGGTGGGACCAGGCAGGGAATGCTGAGAGGGGCTGTGCTGGTGGGACCAGGCAGGGAATGCTGAGAGGGGCCGTGCCCACGGGTCCGGGCAGGGAATGCTGAGAGGGGCCGTGCCCACGGGTCCGGTCAGGGAAGGCCGAGAGGGGCTGTGCTGGTGGGACCAGGCAGGGAATGCTGAGAGGGGCTGTGCAAGCAGGATCGGGATTGAGTCTCTGGCCCCCCAGGGGGCAGCCCACCACTGTCAGCCAACACCAGTAAAGGACATCCTGGTCGTGGTGGTGTTTACACAGCACCACTTGTGGGAGGAAGGAGTGGCTGGGCTGGAGAGGGGACAAAGGGAGGGCCTGAGACTGGACAGTTATGGAAGTGGGTGGAGGGGATGA